GTGAGTGAGTGAGTGAGTGAGCGGGTGGGTGAGTGACTGATGACATATCTTATTTGTAAAAGATGCTTCTATAACTGTTACCTGTTACTAAATGGTTTTGGCTTGGTTGTATCTATGTAACATTTTTTTGTTTTTGGAGGTAGGTGAGAATATTTTCAAACATTTAGCCAACCAGTCTTGAGATTTCCTGATCAACCAAAAAGTAATACTGCTGGGTTAGTTACTCTTCATAGCTGAGGTTTATACCTCTCACTCTGCAAGCCCAAGACACACAGAGTGTTACAAGAAAGCACCCCATGATGTATGTAAGCTCACTGGCAGAGAAGTGCTTCAATCCTTCAATTATTAGTAGTGCCTGCCTTAGAAGTATGGGAGAAAAAGAGAGGTACACACTAAATATTTAGTACTTCATATAAAGGTCTTTCTTCCCTCCTTTTTTATAATTTTTCTTTTATTTCAAACTTTAGCCAGCACTTGGAAGGCTGATGTAGGATTGCTGTGAGTTTAAGGCCAACCTGGGCTACAAAGTGAGTTTAAGGCCAGCCTGAACTCATAGTCAAACCCTGTCTCAAAAAGACAAAAGAAAAATAAAATTACTCATAGCCAACACTTGCTTGGTGTCAAGTCTATGGACAGACATGCAACCTTTAAAATATTCTATAGGATTTAAAAAGTGCTTTTACCAAGTAGCCATGAGGTGAAATTCATTTCCCTCCCGGTTATCCACACTCTCTGCTGCAGGACTCTGCAGTCTGTCCTATAGAGGGAACAGAGTCCATTTCTCCACTTCTACATCCTTTGAACTGGATGACAGCATGAGACAGAAGTGAGCTTCAGCTTCAAGACAGGGCATATTTCCGCTCGTTCTCTGGTGTTTCTGCCATCAGCACAAGGGCATGGACTGCACAGCCCAAGCATCTCAAGAGCATGGTGAGAAATATGTGGCAAAGAGTGGCTTCTACTTGAGTACCAAGCCACACCCAGGACAGAGGCTCCGGTAAAGTATAGATTCAGGGCTTCGCTGCACCAAGACTGGGTGAGGCTGGCTGAAGTCTGTCAACTCCCAGACACCACCCCAAGGGAATGAGCTAAGACAGTAAGTCTTGAGAGTTTGACTGACTGCATTCAAGATCAGCAATTATTCAGAAATAACCAACCAATACAGTCCAAAGCCTGATGGAAAGTGACAAAGTGGTTTTCAGCCATCAAAACCCTGGACATATGCACTCTGTAGTGCGGTTATGTCTACATCCAGCAATTCAGAGAACAGAGCTCCTAGGGCCTCTCCTACCCTCCCACTTAGGAGCTTCCTTGGAGGGCTGGGGAGACTGCTCAGTGGCGTAAGTGACTGCCTGGCAAGTGTAAGGTCCTGAGTTCCATCCCCAGTACCAATAAAGAAAAAGAAACAAAAAGAGCTTACCTGGGTTTGCCTCAAGCCCAGAGGAGGCTTTGCAGGAGGCAGGACTGGTGCTGCCTCCATTCGGCTGCTCAAGGGAAGATGAATTTGAATTATATGAAACTGTCCCAGCCACAGGAGGTGGACTGATAACTGCCCCAGGAAAAAGAAAAGCAGGTATTAAGATGACTCCTATTTAGGCAACACGGAACCAAATATACATGAGATCATCCTACTCCTGCCCAACTCTAAAAAAAAAAAACCTCTTGAAAATAAAGACCACAGAGTCTCAAGATAATAAAGAAATGGGGGGCCAGGGAGATGGCTCAGTAGAATAAGCGTTTCCCTGGCAAGTGCAAGGACCTGAGTTCAATCCCTGGTTCCGCAAAAAAAAAAAAAAAGAAAAAAAGAAAGAAAGAAAAAGAAATAGGCCAAGGATCTAGCTTAGTGGCACAAGCGCCTGTCTGGCAGGTGCAAAGTCCTGAGTTCAATTCCCAGTACAAAAAGAAGACAATAAAGACAGCAATGAGTCAGGCTTGGTGGTGTACACCTCTAATTCCAGCACTCTGGGAGGCTGAAGCAGTTTCAAGTTTGAGCTGAGTTTGAGCAACTTTGCCAGACCTTGTCTCAAAATAAGAATAAATACGGGGTTGTAACTTAGTCGGAAGGTTTGGGGGTCAATGCTAAAAAAAAAAAATGAAGACTGATTGATTATAACTCATGGAATAGAGTAGATATCTGAAATAAAAGGCATGAAAATAGTAAGACAAATCTTTTTATATGGAAAATGTCAACAAGGAGAAAATGATGGAAGTTAGTTTGAAAAGAAATCTGCACTTGGCAGCCACGGGGTAGTAACATCCATGGGGTACTAACAGCCTGAGGAAAGCTCACATGTGAAGCCTAACACTGGGAAGATTTTCTTGTTGTTGTTGTTTACTTTTTAATTTTTACTTATTTAATTTGTATAGGGTCTTGCTATGCAGCCTGGACTCATAGTGATCCTCCTGTCTCAGCCTCCCCAGCACTGGGATTGCAGATGTGCACCACCACGCCAGCAGTAAGGGTCAAACCTGGGTCCTTGTGCTTGCCAGGCAGGTGCTTAGACTGCTGAGCTATCTGAGCTATCTCCCCGCAGAAGTAACCTTGATGGAGACAGGACAGCGAGAAAGAGAACCATGCACGGCACATGTCTACAGCTCTAACTACTCAGGAGCCTGAGGCAGGAAAACAGCAAGTTGAAGGCTGGCCTGAGAAATTTACTTATTTATTTTAATTATTATTTATCTTTTATTAGGAAACATTTTTCCCTGGTACCCAGAATCAAATGCACGACCTCACACTTGCCGGGAAGGCACTGCGCCACTGAGCTAAATCCCTGGCCCTGGCCTGAGAAATTTAGCAACACCATGTCTCAGAATAAAAAGCATCTACTGTGGCTTTCCTTATGACGGCCTGCCCTGCGTCCACCAGGTGTGCTTTACACTGCTTTTTCTCTTTTATTCAGCCCAATCTCGCTCTGCAGAACCAGTTTCTCCCTCACTCCTTATTCAAATAAACTTTGCCACTGCTAAAAAATAAATAATAAAATAAAACAGGCTGCGGATACTAGGTCAATTGCCTAGCTGACATGATGCCCTGGGTTGGATCCATAATACCACCAAAAAAAAAAAAAAAGAGGGAAAGAGACAAGAGACAGAAAAGGGGCAGGGAGTGACAAAAAGCTAAGTATGGCAAAACACTCCTCTGCTCTCAATGACATTGGGCAGAACAGCACAGCAGTACAGTCAGCCAGAGAAGTGTCAGCCAAGTTGCAATGTAGTCACACTTCAGTCTGCACAGGACATTGGCAACAGCCAGGACAGAAATGGGATCGGTAAAGCAAACAAGCTGCCAACCCTCAGCACCTTTAATAGAACAGAGACTGATATGTAAAGAATCAGAATAAAGCCAGATACCGGGCACATTCCTGTAGTCCTAGCTACACAGTAAGCTGAAGCCAGATGATCGCCTGAGCCCAGGAGTTCGTGTCCAAGCAGGGTAACACAGCAAGACCACAATATCAAAAATAGAAATAATCAGAATATACTAGAGTACCTGACTGTATATTTTTTTTCTTCCAACATTCAGACTTTCTGAATTTCAGTGTACGCTGGAATGATTCCGAACAAAGGGAAGCTCTGGTGATTATGAAGACATCTGAGTACTTGCAAAACTTTCAAGCCATCATTATGAGTGTCATTTATTACAGCAGCATCAATGCAGACACAGCAATTAAGTGGATGATTACACTCCTTTCTCCCAAAGAGAACAAACTGCAATTATGGCAGATCGAAAGCAGACAGCACGCTTCTGACAGCTTCAGGTAATATTAAAGTGTATGATCCAGTTTAAATGGGGATAGCCCTAGATGCTGAAATAAGCAGGAAGTTTCTCTAGAGCCAAAGACCACCTCTGCCTTGTCCATCCTACACTACAGAAACAGCATGTACCTTGATGGGATTAGGAGGATTTTGAGCAGGTGAGGATCAAAGGCACTTTTCCACAGAGAGAAATCCTCTCCTGAGATACTCAAGTCAGAGGCCTAAGTTGATCCTGCTGAACAGCTCTGGTGGCCCCCTGTCTGAAGAAAGAAGGTGTGTTCTTCAGAGTCTCCACCCCTAGGTCTCTGCTGCAGACCTACAATGCAAAGCTGCAAGGCTGTGGTTGATGTGGTAGTGGAGGTCCTAACATAGAGGAAGAGTCAGGAATTCAACAGCCCTAGAAACCCACTTCCATCCCTTACAAGTGCTGATCTGGGGCCATTTGTCACTCCCCTCTGAGTTCCTGTTTGTTTAACCACACTGAAGGGATAATACTTCTAGTTTCCTGGGGTGGGTGAGCAGGCAAGCCCTTAACAAAGGTATCTATCACTATTGTTGCTGCTGTGGTCACTGTAGCGAAAAGGGCTTCCAGCCATCATCAAGGAGTTGCATTCACAGCACAGAAATACGCTACAGAAACCAGCAGGACTAGGACAGCATGAGGCAAGCGCTGGGGGACACCGCAAGGAGCTGCATCCACAGCACAGAAAAATGCTACAGAAACTGCCAGGATAGCGTGAGTCAAGTACTGGGGGACACCATAGTGCTCAAATGGTGCTGCCCTTCACCATCACCTGGGGAGCTTTAAAAGCCCCCAAAGGCATGCCACAGGCCAAACGCCTAAGTTGATGTGCTCCCAGGATGGCACTCGGCATCCAGTGTAGGTTCAAAACTTCATGACTGCTGTATTGTAAGCCATGTTTATGGCTATGCAGACGCATGGGAAAAAAAGGGGATTCCTTGCTAGAAGACACAGAAGAAATGAAGGGTTTGCAGAAGGGACACCAATGGAAAGCTGGCTGAGAAGAGGACCAAGACAAAGTGCAGAGGACATGTCCAGTAAGCACGGAGCGTGTGTGGCCTTTCCACGGTCCACTCAAGCTACCACAAACTGTAGCCTGCACAATGAGGCCTCAGAGCATGGCAGGTTTTCATGCGAGAAGCGAGAAATTAGCACCTAAAATGGTCACAAGATCTTTTACGTTTTTGATATGTTTTGTAACAAGAATTCAAATACAGCACACATGAGGCTGAGGCAGGAGGGCTGCTGAAAGTTTAAGGCCAGCCTGGGCTAGAAAGTGAGTTCAAGGCCAGCCTGAACTGCATAGCAAGACCCTGTCTGAAAAGATAAGACAGGACAAAATAAAAAAAAAAAAATTCAAACACAAAAAATTTGGTCTAAATAAAAATGACTAATCCCCTATGTGCTCTGCTTTATAAGGATTTAATTACATTTATATCCAAACATGGAGTAAATTTGGTTTTTTGTTTTGGTGAGATAGGATTTCCATGCATAGTTCAGGCTGGCTTTACCTCACTATGTGGCCCAGTTTGGCCTCAAACTCAGAAATCCTCCTGCATCAGCTTTCCAAATGCTAGGATCACTGGAGTACACTACCACATTTGGATAAAAAAATATTTTTTAAAACCATATTTTTAAATGCATTTTGCTAACTGAAAGTCATTAGTATTGGTTATAGTATGTGATTGCTTATATTCTGGAGAAGACAAAACTTACAGCAAAAGCAGGCTAGTGCTGGCCAGGGCAGGGGACAGATGGTGGAAAAGCCTGGTGGACGCACGGGGTAGGAGAGAGCTGCTCACAGCTCGGCCCCTGGAAAGCTGGAGACGAGAGGAGCTGGAGAGAGGTGAACACTTCCGGGTCTCACCCCAGTGACTGGCCTATTCCAACGGGGCCCCGCTACCCAACAGCAAGTCCGCTAGTCAGCTATACATCCCCATAACCTAGTCACCTTCCAAAAGCCCTGTCTATTAGGCTCATGGGGAACATCTCAATACAAACCATGATATTCCACAGTGCCAGTTATCAGGGGCCTCTGCAGTTAGGTACAGCACATGGCAAGAACGAACAAGAACAAGGGCAAGAGGCAAGAACTGCAAGGAAATAGGGCTCTGGGATGACGTTCTTTGGAAACAAAGACCCAGAACCTCTAGCTCACCACTACTGTATTAGCCAGTGCAGTGGGAGGTGTACAGTGCCCTCGATCGCACAAGGTAGAAGCAGTGGTTGGAGGGGCAAGCTTAACACCCTAAAGAAAACAACATTTATCTATTTCCACACCTGGGCACCAATTTCCCTGAATTGTCCACAGCAGACTTCGTGCCGTACTGTGAGCAACACAGCCTCAGCAACTGTCAGGGCATCAGAGGAAGAGGGATCCCACATTCCAAAACCGGCCCACAAAGCCGGGCAAGGAGAGCCTCTGGACAGGTACTGTGCCAACTCATAACTCGTGGTCCCTAACACAGCACCCTGGCCCCCAAAAGACTCCCTCTGTGCAAAATGCATCTAGTCCATTTCTAAGAGTTGCCAAAGTCCTAACAGTTTCGGCCTTGCTGAACAGTCCAAGTCCCAAGTCTTGCCTGGAATTCAAGGCAAATTCATTAACGGTTAAGCCCTCGAAAACATCAAAAAGAAGCTCAACAATGCTGACACATAATTCCCATTCCAAAAAGAAGACATTGTGGGGTAGAAACCAACAGAAACGAAGCAAGACTGAAGCGCAGAAGGGAAAACACTGAATTCTGTAGCTCCAAGTCCAGCACCAGCGCAAGCTGTGGCCATGAGATGGGCGATCCAAAGGGCCTGAGTGGTTCTGCCCCGTGACACAGCTGGTGGCTGCCACCCTCGTGGCTTCTTTCTTGTGTTGGCTTTATGCCTTATGACTCCCCCCAAGACGGTGCACATTCCTGGCTTTTTAGTGTTCTGGGGTCTCCATTAAACTTTTTTTTTTCCCATTAAACTTTTTTTCCCTTCAGAGCTTCAAGTGCTGCCCTCTCAGGGGTTTACCACCCTCTGGGGGCACACAGCCTGGCCTCCCAGGCCTTCATCTGAAATTCGAGTTGGAATCACGCAGACCCCACAATGCTTGCATTCTGCGTGCCTTTAAGACTAGCCTAAAGGTCTGCCGCCGCTGGGGAAGCAGCCCAGGCCCTGTTGGGTGACCACTCCACAGGGCTCCCGATGCCCACATGGGTACTATGCAAGGAACCCAAGGGACAAGTTCCATGGGCAGCATTCTTAAGCAGGCGCCCTGAAGTTCTCTGCTGCAAACGAAATCTTCCACTTTTGCAACTTTGAGCCTGTGAAGGCTGGGACCTTGCAGATTGTTAACATGCCTGTGAGCCATTTTTCCCATTGTCTCAACTTAAAATACTTGGCTTTTTTATTTTTTTTTTATTTTTTTTTTTAATATTTATTTATTTATTTAGTGTGTGTGTGGCCAGCTCAGCCCACCAGGGGGCGGGGCCGGCTGGCATGTGGTGCTGGAGGATTGAACCGTGGTCTCTGTGCTTTGCTTAGCTTAGCTTGTTCTAAGTAGGTGCTTTAGACCACTGAGCCATCTCACCAGCCCACTTGGCTTTTTTAAAATGTTAATCTCATCAGCAATCAAGCTCTGCTTTGCTCAATCTTTGTAACCTCTTTCTGCCAAAAATTAAAACTTTTTTTTTTAAGGCAGTACCTTGCTGTGTAGTTCAAACTAGTTTTGAACCTACTAAGCAACCATGGCTAGTCTCAAACTCTTGCTGATTCTCCTGTCTCAGCCTCCCAAGAGATAGAATAACAAGTATGTGCCACTACTTCTAGCCAAAACTGAACTTGGGGGCTTTCTGTCCTGAGCATCCCATAATCTCTCACAGTATCCATGAGCTCCAACTTTGACTGCCTTGAAATTTCCTCTACCAGATTAATTTGTCCACTGTCTTTTTTTTGACTTTGGAGAAATGTCCACTGTCCATAAATCTCAGTTTTCCACAAAGTCAGGACATGAGTAAAATGTTGACAAATTTTTTGCAAATGCATAATACACATAGTCTCAAAGCTAAGTTATCAATGGAGTTACTCTATCATTTCCATCAGCATTCTGGTCTTTTGAGCACCAACCAGAAGCTCCCATCAAGCTCAGCTTACAGCATTCTGAGACTGCTTCTCCAGCTAGCACCTCTGTACCTTTCCAAACTCCTCCCAAGAGCCACTTCTAATCTCCTGAACCACACAGGTTCATTTCCTTGGTGTATCAAAAATCTGCATAGGTCACTTTATCCCTGGAACAAAACACCCAACGCTCACCATTTAACGGGGAGGTTTATTTTGACTCACGTGTTCAGTCCATAGCTGGCTGGCTCTCAAGCTGGAAAAGCATGGTGGGAGGTGCTGGGTGGAAGAGAGCTGCTCAAGGCACAGCCACCAGGAAGAAAAAGGAGCAGGGAGAAGCCAGAAAGGGGAGGAACCCTTCCAGGCCACACCTCAATGGCCTGCCTTTTCCCACCAGCACCTACCACCTAGCAGCAAGTCAGCTATAAGCCCCTGCAGTCTAATCACCTTCCAAAAGGCCTGCCTTATGTGCTGGGAAGATAGCTCAGTGGTATAAGTGCCTGCCTGACAAACTCAAGGTCCTGAGTTTGATTCCCAGCAATAGAAGAAAAAAAACAAAAAAACAAAGATGGATTTAAGAGTCGAAGCCAAAAGCCCTGCCTATGAGCACTAGGGCTTTTGGAGGATATCTAGATATAAACCATAGCAAAGAGGTACAAAGAAAGTTGTCTAGAATAACATAACCACTCTACATTGTGATGGTAGTGATAGCTACCCAACTGTATTTTCTCAAAAACTCGCAGTGTGGGCTGGTGAGATGGCTCAGTGGTCTAAAGCACCTACTTAGAACAAGCTTGGCAAGGCATCAGGGACCGGGGTTCAATCCCCCAGCACCACATGCCAGCCAGCCCCGCCCCCTGGTGGGCTGAGCTGGCCACACACACACACACACACACACACAAATAAATAAAAATTAAAAAAAAAAAACTTGCAGTGCACTAAAAAATATGAACTTAAGTGTATATATACTACATATTTTAGTGTGTATAAATTATACCTCTATACTTTTTTAAAGAAATAAAACTCCTTTGCTAGACATGATACAGCCTGCATATTAACAATGAGCAGAAATCAGTATGGAGAGTCCTCAAAGACTAAAATGAGAAATTCCATTTGACCCGCCTAGTCCCCTTCCAGGCATCTTTCCGAGAGCTAAAGACGTCGTAGTGCAGAGTACATGCACAGCGCCGTGTGCAGCAGCACCACTCACGAAAGCTACACCTCACAAGTGATCTGTCCATCAACAGACAAATGTATAAAGACAAACTTGAGTCATCTGTAGGAAAATGGGTGCACCTTGAGACTGTAACGTTGCATAACTGAATATTGCACGGTTTCTCCTGTACGAGAAACCCCAGTTATACAAAAGTGTAAAACTAAAATAGGAAGTAGGTCGACAGATCTTTCCCAAATGGAAAAGGGAATAAGAGATAGAGACAGGTGGGGTAGGAGGCACAGTGCATGTCGGAAACTCACAGCATGCTGAGATGTGTTATATACTGATTCCACACCAGGAATATACATAAACATTACTTATGTATTGCAAACACATGTTAATAAAACTATAAAAAATAAAATTCAGTACTCTGTATTTCCCCACAGCCAAATATAAACCACTGCTTTGGCATTTTTAATTCAACATGCTCAGTGAGTCTTGCTAACGTTGAAGAAAGGATTCAGGTTTTCTTCCTGGGATTACTAGTACTCCAAAAGATATGTCTCTCACTTCCCCCATAAAATGTTAACTGTTACTACAAGCCGGCCTAAGGCAGTCCAAGAGACGCCCTGACCCCATGCAGAACCAGTCCTTCCCCTGAGACTCAGGACTGCCCTCTCTCACCCACTAGCCACTAGTCTGGTTCCTGGGCACACCCCACCATTAGCTGTGACTACAACACATCTTTGCACAGACCCAGTTTGGGCTGCACAGCTGGCATTTTACACCAGCAGAGAAGTGTTCGTCTAGCTGTGAGCTATCTGCTTCATACCTACATGCCTTATCAATAAACACACAGTTCTAAGAGTATGGCTTGTACCTGCTTTCTCGTAAATCGGAGCATACATGCCAAGATTTGCCTGCGTTTGCTGTTTGGCTAGCTCTAAATTTCTTGTTGGAAAACAGAGTGCGTCATGACTGACATTTTAGGTTGGCCTCACTGGTTTTTTTCTGGCTTACATAAAGAGAAACCTACCTGTTTGGATTCCTAGCTGGCTGGTTCTGGAAGAGACTGAGAGAAAATCCTGATCCCAGATAGGAGAGTTTTGACTATAAACTTCTTCTTCTAACATGGACAGAAACCTAGAAGCAAGAGTAAAAGCAATAGTAAGATTAAAGCAACAGGGGCTGGAGAGATGGCTCAGTGGTCTAAAGCACCTACTTGAAACAAGCTTGGCAAAGCACAGGGACCGCGGTTC